CCGGCTCATTCCCGAAGAAGTCTAAGATGGCATAAAAACCAGATATTGTCTCTGTCCATGGCAAATATTCCTGGAAAGACCGAAATATACGTCGGTGAAGACTCTATTGATAACAGTCGAGTGAGATTCGAAAAAAACCTCTTCATTCTTAGCGTACTCAAGCAGTTTAAATACAGTTGCGTACTCGAGTTCGTCAATCAGAGCCGCTGCAAAAGCATCACCTATAATCGCATTTCTCGTCCTTGCACTGTATGCCTGAATGAAATTTCTATTGAGGTTTTTTTGGAATTATAAGAGGAAATAATTCCATAATAGAGGGAAAAGAAACCTGGAGGGTGAATGGACTGGGTACAGTCAGAAAGCTGCTGTCGACATTGTACCTTGTCGATCAAGGTTGAGCAAGGAATACAGTTCGACAAGGCAATCGGAAGTCGGTGATTACGGGCATTAATCTTTGCCCAGACCGGGTGATGTTAAAAGTGCGTCGGAGGAAGTGAGATGAGAGGAGATGAGGGGGAGGAAAGCGACAGGGGTAGCGATTCAGTGCAGACCATCCTTCTCTACTTTTCCGCATGCTTGGCGGAATTCAGTGAAATCCAGGCCTTAACGCCAAGAACACCATCGAAATTTTTCCCAATTTCAACGGCTCCGCTGGGTTATCATATTTCACCAATTTGATAGGACAGAATTGCGAAATCGGTCTAACACTCGAACTACCAGAGAAACTAGCCTGGACAGTATTCAAGCTAAAATTTTTCCCGGGTTCTATTGCAGCGATGTCCCTAAACGTTCTCCTGATCACTACGTACCTTATGATTTTTCTTGAGCTGTTTGATGATCTTTCGCCAACCCTTCGCATCATAGTTTTGTCGATAAAATCCATGGCGATCAGCATTCACCACAATGGAAGTGTCAGGGTTGCTCACGTGTAAATAGAGCGGTTTTTCTGGAATGTGAGTTATACCTTACACCACAAGAAAGGCACTACATTGAAATTGAACGCTCTCAACACTGAGTGATTTTATAGCTCCTTCAAATCGCTATGGAAGACTTTGTACCCGAATTCCCATCGTCGCAAACATGCACGCAGGTGTGGTTTGCCGCGGCAAATGCCTTACTCTCAACTATGGACTTTGATTACTCCTGAACTGCGCACAAAAACTTACGGCGAGGGTTGAGGAGGCGACACATTGTTCGCGAATAAGATCCCAC